TGAGCGGGCGGCGCCCCCAGCCGCGCTCACCAAGTTCTCCTCGGGCAGCAGCATCGACAGCCATGTGCAGCGCCTCATCCACCGAGATTCCACCATCAGCAACGACGTGAGCCAGCCGGGGCCCAGGGGAGGGGCACTGGGCTTGCGGGTCACCAGCATTTTACGCTCAGGGGTCCTGGCTCCAGCCCAGCCTAACTCTCACTGGCAGCGGAACCCTGGGAGGCAGGCTTCATGTGAGTCCGTGTCTCACTTTCCTCAGCTGAAGTTCAATTCCTGCCCCTGCTGCCTTCTCTGGGTGCTGTGGGAATGATATGAGCTGAGAACGTGTGTCCTCTGTTAAGACTAGAAGGGACAGATGAATTTATTAGGATTTAGAGACATCCTCCCTCTTGGTGGAAAGACCTCAAGGCTAGCAACAGGCAGCCCTGGTTCTAGTCCTAGATCCCCAGATGAATGTCTCTGGGCAAGAACTTCGCATCTCTGGGTCTCAGTTTCTTTTCTGCTCTCATATCCTCTGAGGATGGAGGCCCCCTCAAGAACTGGTGGCAGGGGACAGGACAAGGAAGCATTTAGAGTGGTCCCATGCCTCCTGGCAAGATCCACGTTTAATGTTTTCTTTCGTCTCATTGAATCTACTGTCCCAAGAGCACGGGTGGGCAGTGCCCCCGGCTCACTCCTGCCTTTACCACAGCAAGTGCCAACCATCACTACAACAGACGTGGATGAGCTTCACTTTTAAGGATGCTCTTTTAATAACTTTTTTCTTTTTTTTTAGAATTACTTTATTTAACTAACTTTCTTTCTTTCTTTCTTTTTAATTTGACCAGAGAGGGACAGAGTGAGAGAGAGGGAAAGTGAGAAAGCAAGCCACCAGGTCCAGGATTTGAACTGTGGTCAGCCACATGGAAGTTCAGTGTCCCCAACCACCACGCCATCTGCCGGCCCCAATAATTTTCTTCTTTAATTGCCTTTCGGATGATGTGTATTCTTGTTACTTTACTAAATCCTTTCTAACATTAGCAGAGAACATAATTTGGAGTGAAACGTAAAAGAAATGTAACTGGGGCCAGCAGGTGTCATGGTGGTTAAGGCACTGGGTCCCACGTGACCAACTGTGAGTGTGAGTCCTGCACCCAGTGGCTTGAAAATCATTCCAGACACATATGCATGCATGCCCAAACTCCCAAGAAAAGAACGGAGGAAAAGGAATTGCAATGTAGCCATCCCCCCCCGGGGGGGTGCATTCTCAGTTTCTCTCAGTTTCTCTCTTTCTCTGGTGAGTGCACACACCCTGTAGCAAAAACTACAAGAAAAGAAAAGGAAAAAATAGATGTAATTTATAGGTATATTCTCCTTTTCCTTTTTTTTATTTTTTTAGTTTTTTATTTGCTAGAGAGCACTTGCACTTACTTACCAGGCTGAGAGACAGGGAGAGGGAAAAATACCCCCCAGTGGGGGAAGGTCACACTGCAGTCCCTTCTCTTCCATCTCTCCAGTCTATCAGGATTTGGGGATCACACAAGCCCAGCATGTTTTTCAAGCTGCTGGGGCTGGAATTCCAGCTGAACAGTTGGCCATTTTGGCCATGTAGGGTCTGATCCCCTTACCCTCTAAGCTACAGGACTGGCCTCTCTCTTTTTTTTTTTTTTTTTTTTGCTGTAGGGTACCCTCACTAGAGAAACAGAGACAGCAGCAAGAAATCACCCCCATGGAGGGATAACCATGCCACAATCCCTTCTCCATTCTCCTCTTGGAATTTTAGGCATGACGCATACACGCCTGGGATGAGTTTCAAGCCGCTGGGTCCAGAACTCTAACCACGGTCAGCCACGTGGAAGTCCAGCACCTTAACCACTCCGCCACCTCCTGGCCCCTCCATGTACTTTATTGTATCCCCCATTCATAAACATACTCTTTTTCACTCACTTTGGGTTTTGCAAGAACCTGGCTCTGTACCAGTGCTCCAAGTGCTTAGCTCTAGATAGCAGTATTAGAGTGCTTTGTTTGTTTTGGGGTTTGCTTACTTATTTCATGACAGAGACAGACACAGGTCCCTTCAACAGGGTTTTGTCATGCCACAGCCTTCACTGCAGCATCCCAGCCAGGATCACAGGTGTGCTTAGACATGCCCATTGTTCAGGCCGACCAGGGATCCAAACCCAGGCCTCTCATGTGACTCAGCATCACACAGCAGTGCCCCAACACGGGTGCCACTGTAGCTGGGCCCCTTGCCAGCAGCATTCCGAGGCTCTTGGTTACCTCAGAATTGTGGCCTCCCCCAGGACTATCAGCTTCTTGCCCGAAGTGGAAACTACTTTTAGCATCCCTTTCCCTATATAGTCCAAATAGAAAAAGAGAGAACTGGCCAGCAGGTGGTGTGGTAGTTAAGGCCCTGGATCCTGCATGGCCGGCTGTGTGGCTCAAGCCCTGTACCCAGCGGCTTGGATCACGCTGGGCATGTACGCGTCATGCCCAAACTCCCGAGAGGAGATTCAGGGAGAAGAGATTGCAGTGTGGCCATCCCCCCACCGGGGGATTATTTCCCTCTCTCCGTCTCTCTCTGGCAAGCACATGCACTCTATGGCAAAAACCTAAAAAAAAAAAATAAAGAAAAGAAAAGAAAAGGAAAACCGAGAACAGCCCAAGTATGTTTTTTTATTTTCCCTGACTTGTCAGGATGTTTCGTCTCACGTCTTTCTTCTGCACTCGATCGCAGGCCAGTGTACGTGGCTGAGTACTTGCTGCAGGAGCGTCCTGCCTTGTCCTGCTGGACCTTTAATACTGAATACATACAAGGCTAAAACCGCTAGCTGCCCTCCTGCGAGGGCACCCCACAGCCAAACCGAGACACTAAGGAAACTCTCTGGCTGTCGAGTGTCCAGGCTTCTGATTCCCCCTCTTCCCTCCATCAGCCCCAGGAAACCCTGGAATGCTTCACGGGAGCAAGGACTGCACAGGGATGAAGACCATGTCTTCACATTTGCCCTTTGGCTCTGTCTGGTTGGCTGGGTCCCAGTTGGCTTGGCACCCAGGGGTGGCGGTGTTGGAGGTCACGGGTAGGAGGAGGAGGTGTAGAGAATTCCCTCTCCCGGCTCCATTCTCACCTAAGGAGAAGGGCCCGGAGTGCAGGTGGGGGCCACTGTCTTGTTCACAGGTGTTTATCTCTGTGGATGAACTGGAGCCCCCGCAGCCCCAGGGCCCTGAAGATTCTAAATCGAAGCCCGAGCAGGAGCCGGGAGCCGGGACCACGGGCTCGGCAGTGGTGGAGCAGCAGCAGTCGGTGGAGTTTGATTCTCCAGACTCAGGACTGCCATCCTCTCGCAACTACTCTGTGGCCTCGGGTATCCAGTCAAGCCTCGACGAGGGGCCCAGTGTGGGCTTCGAAGAGGAGGATGGTGGTGGGGAGGAAAGCTCTGCCAGGCCAGGCCCTGCCGCCCACACTTTCTCCGAGCCCCGAGAGACCAGCCAGGAGGTTTCTGGAGCCAGTGAGCTGCAGGCAGGGGAGGAGCTTGCGGCCGTGTGTGCTGCCGCCTACACTGTACGTGGACCTTCCAGCATCTTTCTCAGCCAGCCCTGGCCCTCCTGACCTCCCAGAGCATGGGGAGGGGTGGGCAGGGCGGAAGGTGGGGTGCCTGACTGTCCTGTAGGGGAGCACTCAGCCTGTCTCCCAGCACCCCCGGAGGCCTCTTCTCTGAGCTCCCCAGGTTCCCTTTGCCTTTGGGCACGGCCTCCTGCCCCCCGACCTGGGAGGGCCTGAGCAGTCTCACTCCTGAGGGCCCTCCACTCTTCCAGATAGAATTACTGGACACCGTGGCCTTAAACCTGCACCGCATAGACAAGGACGTGCAAAGGTGTGACCGCAACTACTGGTACTTCACGCCCCCTAACCTGGAGCGGCTCAGAGACATCATGTGCAGGTGCCACAGCGGGCAGGGCGGACTGCCCAGGGTGCTCCCCGCTCTCCTGCACCGTCACACCCTCTCCCCACTTCCCTTTCCTCTTAGAGCCCTTTCCCCAGGAAGCCTTCCCTGATTTCCCTCCCGTGCCCCACACACCGCTGTGATGGCCCCTTGATACTGCCCTGAGTTCCTGAGTGTTTTGAGATGGGCTGCGGGTTGTTCCGCACTGTCTTCCACTTTGGGGTGCACAGTAAGTGCTTGGGGTTGTGGAAAGGCTGATTCTAGGGGCTCCAGAGGCCGTCTCCCCAGGGACCCCGAGGCAGGGGCCAGATGGAGCACAGCCACAGTGACTGTCCGGCATTTCAGCTACGTGTGGGAGCACCTGGACGTGGGCTATGTGCAGGGCATGTGTGATCTGCTGGCACCGCTCCTGGTCGTCCTCGACAATGGTGAGGGACGGGGCGTGGGTGTCCCCCGAGTGGTGGTCACATTGGGCTGGCATACATATGCTGGAGAAACGAAAGGAAGAAGGCCAGCCTTGCCCACCAGGCTTTCTCGCCCTCCCAGCCTCACCCCTGTATCCCCTCAGATCAGCTGGCCTACAGCTGCTTCAGCCACCTCATGAAGAGGATGAGCCAGAACTTCCCCAATGGGGGCGCCATGGACACCCACTTTGCCAACATGCGCTCCCTCATCCAGGTGAGGTCTGCAGTCACCACAGGCACCTGACAGGCAGAGAGGCCAGGGAGCAGTTGAAGCTGTCCTTTACAGAGAAGCTGGCTTCCTTTCATTGTAAAAGCCTGGTCTCAATTTTACAAATGGAGGAGGAGTGTGCGCGCACATACTCCCGCTCACAGGAGTTCTGGCGAGCTGTGGGGAGACAGGTGGGGCAGCAGCGTGCGACCCCACCCAAGGGAGCCCCAAGGGAGAGTGCAGCTGGCCCCACAGC